ATTAAAAAAAAAAACTCCTCACTTGTGGGGGTGGGGGGAGGGGTTTCCTATGCAATAACGACACAATTCAAAATTCAAAAAATCAAATCCCTAATGTTAAGTGGCTTATGTCTCTAATCCTTTTCTAATCCATGTCTAATTCTTAATAAAGTAAGTAGTAAGTTTTACGTTTATTTTAATAAGCTTAGTCACTTTGAACATCCCGTCTAACATTTTGACGTTTTTTTTTTAACTATATATTTTGTTAAGTGCATGTATTTTTATCGTGAATGATCTGGAAATATGGTGGTCAGGCCATTAATTAAAAAAATTGATAAAACAATGGCCAATTTTCCGATCTGCCTTATTTACAAAACATCATTGTTGCCCACACTGTGCATATATGCATATTATGTATATATGTATGTATGTATGTACATATACGTATGTTTTTAAATAAGCCTTCTGAAATTAACATTTGTTTAGTTAATAAAATCAAAATCATGATCCCAAACTTCAATCGTAGGTTTTTTTCTTTTGGAAAATTATAAAACTATAGGTGGCCTCAAACAGATGCGATACTACCGATGTGATACGATATCATCGTATTTGATGCGATCATAATAAAAAGCAAAGGCCCTCAAGCAGGTGCGATACAATACCCTGCGGGGCTTCATCTTTCTTATGGCAATCTTTATATTCCGAATACTTCAATTCATATAATATTTGATAACAATTGACGAGCTAAATTATTAATTCCATTTCACTGCAATACAATTTTCGAACGCATATATATATCACATCTGTTTGAACACTCCCATATACCGTAGTGGTTTGTATTGATCGCATATCGTAAATTTTTGTACTGCAACGATACGGTAGTTTCGCATCTGTTTGAGGCCACCTTAAGTTGAGCGAAAACAAAAAGCAAAACCAACTAAAACTAAAAGAATCAAGATTGAAATGCGTCAAAATGAAAATAAGGGAACACGAATTTGGATATGAAGCAAAACTCTCTCGGAAGAAGATACCCAAGGAGGCGAATTCATACAAGGTAATAGCGGCACAAAAACAAAAAACTACATTAAGAAATTATACGCACTATGACAATCACACAAAAAAATGTGCAACAAACACGTCATTTTGACAATCAACACAATCCGCGTTGAAATCAGTTGCTCCGGTAATAGGCGGCATTTCAAGATGGCTCACGATATTCACGATTTGCAGGTTTTTGAAGTGAAACTTCTTAGTCGAGTTCGGAGATGGTTGCATTAAATATTTAACACCAAGTCATAAAATCCATATCGTTGGTTCGATTTTCAAAAATGAGGTGTCAAATGAAAGGCCATGGCCTTCGGGTGTACAACATAGCTTTAATTCCATGAAATAAATTGTCACATGTTAGAAAATCTATTTCAAAATTTCTCTGCCGCAGAGGGTTGCGTTAAATATTTAACACCAAGTCATAAAATCTGTATCGTTCGTTCGATTTTGAAAAATTAGGTATCAAATGAAAGGGGTTAACCTGTAGATGTGCAATATGGTTTTCGTTCTTTAAAGAGTTGCCATATATACGAAAATCAAATTCAAATTATTTATTAAAATAAATAAAGATAAGGATAAAGATAAATATAAGGATATAAAGACAAAGATATATATGTAGATATAAAGATAACGATAAAGATAAAGATGTAGATAAATATAAAGATAAAGATGAAAGCGAAGATGAAGATAAGTAGACTGTTATGATCGACCTGCAATTCTCGCAGGAGATTTCAACGTCAACTGAGCAGTCCACCACTCGAACGCACACTCGACTGGGCAGTCGGCCGAAAACAGGTTTCATTTTTGTATACATGAGAACTACGCATGATTGTGTTAGTGCATGTGGCACATGCAAACAAAACGAAATAGAAAACATGTTGCCTATGTGTGCGTGTCACTCCACCGTCAATCCGCGATTTTCGCGGACTGAAATGAGCGAGGTAAACTCGAACTCCCTTCCCCCTCTTATCCACACAAAACCGGTTTTAGACGGACTGAGCAGTCCAGTGTGCGGAGGCCCATTGAATACGCCTTGCAAAGAACCTTACATTTGTTAAAACAAATTAAAGTAGTTACAGGAAAAGTGATTTTTCGCGTTCAAGGTGACTTACTGTTTCGCTCTCACTCCTCTCTTTCAAGAGAGAAATTTTGACATTTACACTCAAAGCTCTCTGATACATGCAGTGTTGCCGTTTTGGTTACTTTTAACCAATTTTGGTTATTTTTTTCTTGCCTGTGCAGTTGTTAAGATCTTTCCCGTTTTGGTTATTTTTTAATATTTACTGTAGTTTTTAATTGACATAGGCCAGCTACACCTGTCGAGGTTGAGGAGAGTAGCAACAGCAGTGGCAGCCCCAGCAGTGAAACCAAGTAAGAATATTTGGAATGAATGTATTATTACTACTTACATATGTATGTATGTATTTGTTTTATAATATATGTACAGAATACATAATATACATGGTCGGCTAGACTACTTCAAATGAATACATACTTAGACAGTACATATATAAACACCTCGTATATGCGGAATCCAATACTACGTCATGTATGTACAATAAAAAGGATTTGTTTATTCTTTTCCCATTACTGTTTACTTTATTAATTTAAGTTAAGATTAATAATAATAATCTTATAGCAAGTAGGTTCAGTGAAAATACCATTCCACAGTTAAAAAAAAATCGGTTTTTTGCGCATTTGTAAAATTTATTTACCATCGTATACGCGGTACTACGTTTGGCGTATGCGAGGTATTTCGCTCTGAGCGACGATATAGTTAAATAAGTCCAATTTTTAATTGTTTAGTCTTAATCTTAAAATATATACAATGTGGTTGTTCACGCTGATTAGGTATATCATTGATTCTTACAATGAAGTTGGAAACTATGTACCTTTGTACTTAATTAAAAACGTCATTTAGAGTCTGGTAATGTTTACGAAGATATTAACATTCATTCATATGCATCTAATACGGGAAGACTGATATTCTAAAATATGTATTTACATAATTACAGCTTTAAAAGTATTTACTTTTCAAAAATGCAAATAAAAATTGATTTTCTGAATTATTAATCTAATAAAAAAGTTGGTTATTTTTCCTTACATTTGGTAACTTTTTCGTCTAATCTTGGTTAGAAAGTTCTTTGAGCGGCGGCAACACTG